ACTACAAAGTAAAGCTAAAACAAAGTAATTTTGAGAGGAACGCCAAAAAGATTTTAGGTTTTGAACACTTTTCACCGCAATATGATTACTTCCTCAGTCTGAGCATAGCCTATCGAAGGGAAGATGGCTGTGTAACTCATTAGAATAACAATATAACTCATTATCTATGTCAGTCGACGTTATTCATAAATCTGATCGTTTCACCGTCACGTGTGTATTGTATTTTTACCAAATCCACCAATAGCAATTTCCAGTTTCCCTATTGTTCGAGTCACGGATAGGTGACTTTCCTAAAACATTGCTATTGGTTAGTTGGGCAAGAATACAATACACACGTGGCGGTGAAGGGCCAGATTTATGAATAAACGTTGACTAACATGGATAATGAGTTATATTGTTATTCTAATGAGTTTCACAGCCATCTTGCCTTCGATAGGCTATGGTCTGAGAGCCATCCTATTACTGCAAATTTCTGCAAACCATTTTGGCTCAAAATTTACAGGAAAATTGCCAGTCTAAACAGACCTTAAAGTTTTACATTAGGGAATAATGTATATATCCTGCATGTGCCCCTTGATTTGTGGCTACATTTCATATGACTGGATGCATAACTGATCGCTCGCATATTTCCATATCCACCTGCTTATAGATGTCCTACAACCGTATTTTTCGGCGTACAAGTCGCACAACATCGTCTCCTATAGCTCGGTATACGACAGTAATTGATTCTCTTGATAATATGGCAGTAACGTTTAAACGACCGTGGTGGATTGTCTGTACACGTGCTTGGCACGTTCGTTTTCGTTGGCACGATCCCAGGACACGCTTTAGGATAACACGCGCGGCGTAGCAGAGGTCGTTCCCAGGCCTTGCAACCGCCCACTCGCTTTCCTTCGCCGTTTAGACATGAAACATAGCGGGTTTCCACACCATGGCCGCAAGTTACTGAACACTATGAATTAAGAATAACGACACTAGTTAGAAAGTGGGAAAAACCGAGAAACAATGTTTCCAAGCCATGTTTCCCGAAGGTGGGACAAACCAGGAAACATTGTTTCCTAGCCATGTTTCCCAATGGTGGACAAACCAGGAAACATTATTTCCTAGCCATGTTTCCCAAAGGTGGGCAACCAGGAAATATTGTTTCCTAGCCATATTTCCCGAAGGTGGACAAACCAGGAAACATTGTTTCGTAGCCATGTTTCCCAAAGGTGGACAAACCAGGAAATATTGTTTCTTAGCCATGTTTCCCGAAGGTGGACAAACCAGGAAACATTGTTTCGTAGCCATGTTTCCCAAAGGTGGACAAACCAGGAAACATTGTTTCCTAGTCATGTTTCCCGAAGGTGAACAAACCAGGAAACATTGTTTCCTAGCCATGTTTCCTGAAGGTGGACAAACAAGGAAACATTGTTTTCTAGTCATGTTTCCTGAAGGTGACAAACCAGGAAACATTGTTTCGTAGCCATGTTTCCCAAAGTTGGGCAAACCAGGAAACATTGTTTCCTAGCCATGTTTCCCGAATGTGGACAAACCAGGAAACATTGTTTCGTAGCCATGTTTCCCGAAGGTGGACAAACCAGGAAACATTGTTTCGTAGCCATGAACGAGAGGACTCGCTATGAACCTACCCCATACACGTATTGTATTAAATGTGGTTATAAAATGAAGTCATTTCTATCTATACCAACCTGTGTCCAAGGTGTTGCAAACCAGCTCGGTACACAGTTGCTGTTGCAATCCTTGCGTACAGCGGGTTTATCATCCAGTGAACAATCTGCATCAAACGTCTCTCGGTAATTCCCATTGGTAGACTTCATACATATCACCACTCTCTGTTGCAGACCTTTGCCACAATCGGTTGAGCACTAAAATGGACAACATAGGAATATAAGAAAGTCTATTAGTCTGATATCGAAATTTTTGGACATGGCTCCAGAGCCCTGGATTTACACCAACTTTCTCCATACCTTACTCCATTCTGACGTGACCCATATTCCTCTGCAATGTTGTGTATTACAGCTCTGTTCATCTTCTGGTTTCGTCTTGTCTTTACAGTGTCTCTCTGCCAATTTACTGCCGTCTATTCTTGCACAAACCACGGGACGAGTGCGGAT